GACACACGGTCCACTGAGAGTACTGATTATAATGACATCGATGTTCACTGTACCATAGAGATAATAAAATAATAAATATTGATTTTGAACAATTTTTCATTTAGGTATTTTACAAACAGCTATTAAAGAATTGCAAATTGAAAAGAATCTTAATGATATTCAACAACAATGGGATACAATGCGTTTTCAAATCCATAAGCATTATCGTCATACATTAGGTACAAATATTGAACAAGAACGTGGTTTTATTATAACTGGTGTTGATGATATTCTTCAAGCACTTGAAGATTCAACATTACTTCTTAATAGTATTTTTAAAAATTTTTCTTGAATTATTATTTTTATGTATTATTTTGTTTTCACAATTCTTTTTAAGGTATAGTAACATCACGTTTCGTTGGTATTTATCTTTTACAAGTTGAACAATGGATTCGAATATTATCTTTAATTTCTGATGTAATTAAATTATGGGCAATTGTACAACAAAAATGGATGTATCTTGAAAATATATTTATTGGTTCTAATTTACAATTTGGTGAAGATGCTAAACGATTTGATACAGCTGATAAATTATATCGAAAGATAATGTTTGGTATATTTCATATATTTTAAATGAATCCTTGTGTTCTTTTATTTTCATTATTTTAGAAACATCAAGAAATTCATTAGTTAAAGATGCTTGTACACATCCTGGTCGATATGATGAATTAAAATCAATATTAAATCTTATTGAAAAAATTCAAAAAAGTTTAAATGAATATTTAAATACGAAACGTCAATTATTTCCACGTTTTTATTTTTTATCTGATGATGAACTTCTTTCAATTATTGGATCATTAAATCCAAATCATATTCAAGAATATTTACAAAAAATGTTTGATAATATTGCATCATTAAATTTTATACATTATAATAAATTATTAATTTCAAAAGAAAAGCAACAAAATGAACAAATTGATGAACAAATACATTTAAATAATCAAGAAAATTCTATTTATGCCAAAGCAATGATATCATTAGAAAAAGAAGAAATGAATTTTTTAAATCCAATTGAATGTAATGGAAAAGTTGAAATATGGATGTCAAATATTGAAAAAGAAATGAAATATTCAAATCGTTTATTAACGAAAGAAGCTATTTTTTATTATCGTTTTAAACAAAATCGATTAGAATGGATGAGAAAATATATTGGAATGGTTATTTTAGCTGTAAATCAACTTTGGAGTACATGGGAAATCGAAGAGTATGTTTAGAAAAAATAATATCACATTTGTGAGTTGGGACTATATGTTTCATGTAGATTCTAATGAAATATGAATATTCTGAAAAGAGTTTCGACTAATAGTTGAATACTGCCGAGACACTCTATTTTTTAACAGAATACTATGCTTCTCCTCCTGAATACTAAGCTAACTGGGTGTGAAAGTTTTAATTTTTTTTTATTGCACCTATCCTACAAAAATAACATCAAACTTTGCCATTGTATATGAGCGACATAAGAAAATATGCTTTCATCATAGCCATATCTTATAATAGAAGCAATCGAAATATCTGAAGCTTTTACAATAAACTATTCTCATTAAGGCGTGGCACTATGGAAAGTTTCAAATCGAAATTCGAGACACAGATTTCTTAGTGTTTTTGAGGAAGCATCAATAAGTTATTAGTTCGAACTCTTTTCAAGGTGTTCATAACTCATCAGTACATCTTATGATTTAATCAAGTGATCTGTGTAGAATAGCATACCGATTAAGTTTAGATCTATTATAGGAAAGAAAAGAATTCTATGATTTAAGTATAATAAAGAGATATAGATCGATTATTCTAATGTAGATATAAATCAAAAGACTATAATTAGTAGTGCAAAATTTACTCTGAAAGAAATTATTTAGCACTAATATATGAATGCCTATAATTTGACCCATAATGGACCTTTTTATTAATTAGTCTAAGTTCAACTCTGAATCTGGCCCAACGTGTCATACGCTTGAAGGAACAGTCAATTATAACTGGATTATTATAAGACTATTGTCAAAAATGTTTGCGAAATATCTAGGGTATATTAATAGCAGAATACAAATAATCGATAGAAAAATATTTTGTATCTTCGAAGCGATTATCAGACTCAGACTAAAAAGCTTCGTTGTACTTAGGAATACGATTCGAACTCCAAATATTTGGGATCCGATGAGATCTATTTTTGACATATTTTCAATTTGAGAATCTTACAATATGCATCCAACGTTCTACTTTACTAACCTATGACGCGAAGATCTTGTCACAAAATATTCACTCATTTTTTGAGCTACATTTGCTTCTGAAGTAAGATTGGATAGCTATAATCAGACTGTTTCAAAAGGTCCAAAATAGTAATTTTTTTTATTAATACAAATATCCATTGAAACTAGCAAGTACCATTCTTCTTAAATTTTATTTTCAGTCAATTTGATAAAATAATTAAGCATAATCAACGTTCAGCAATGAAAACTTACGTTAAACAATTAAATTCTCAAATAGAAGAAATTGTTATAGAAATGCGAAAATTTTTAAAACCAAGTAAAAAAAATTTGATTAGAATAAAATATTACCTTCATCAATGTTTTCTTTATATAAGATGAATATAATAAATTTGAAACAGTTCTTACAATCGATGTACATACTCGTGATACAGTAGATATTTTAATTCGTGATGGTATTAATGAACCTCATGATTTGTAAGTTTTATCGAATATATATTATAGAAATTCTAACTTGAATTTAGTTCATGGCAATGTCAATTACGTTTTTATTGGTTATCAAAAGAAGATAATTTATTTTTACAGCAATGCAATGAAAAATTTGAATATGGTTTAAAACGATAGTTCTCAATAGAGACTTTTAATGTTCTTTTTTGTTTTTCTTGTAAAATAGGTTATGAACATATGGGTCTTAATGATCGTCTTGTTGTTACACCATTGACTGATCGAATTTATCTAACAGTTACACAAGTAAATAGAATTTTTTCTATTGTGTAACAAACTTCAACAGTTCAAATTATAGGCTTTGTCAATGTTTCTTAGTTGTGCATCAGGTTTGGGTGTGGGTGTGGGTGTTGAAGTGGTAACCGCTGTAGAGTAGAACCACACTCACACCCACCCTTTTTTTTATAAATTAAATTGAGTCTTTTTTTTCTTTTACGATGCTCATGTATCATTATCTTATAGAGCAATATCATGCATTGCATTTGTTTTATTTTTACTAGTTTTCTTCAATTTGCTGCGTATCTACAAAACTTCAGAATTTTTTGATTTATTTCATATCTTGATGAAAAAATTAGAGTAGCTGCGCGACTAAAAAGTTCTGAACAAAACTAAATAATCGAATTTTTATCAAAAAACATTTGTCAGAAATTCACCTGAATTTCAGTGAAACTGAGAAATAGTTTGATAGAGAAGTGAATTCTCTATCTAGCTGTGTCAAGACAAAAGATATACATTCGTCCAATTCGTTGTAATTGCTCAGATTACTCAAAGAAAATATCTCTAAAATTCCATAGAAAAAAAAAAGTTTTTTTTAAAACTTTCTTCTCGAAGTGTATTCATTTTTTTTCCATAAAAGTATAAAATAAATCAAAAGAAAACTTTACAGATGAATAGAGTAATCAATGCTCTCTCTAATCATGTGGAAATAAAAAAAAAATTCTGAAGTCTTGTAGAGACAGCACAACGAAGAAAACTAATTAGTCAACACAAGTCAATCGTCCTGTATTTATCTTTTGTTCTGACGTGAAAGAAGTAAAATTTTTTAATGTGATCAACAATAATAAAAACTCTTGTATTGATTCTTGAGGTGGATCATTGATGTTTTTTTTTTCGTGTTAACACTTGTAGCAGAAAGACAAGTACGATTTTCTAGATAATAAAAATATATTTTGTTTCTTTTTTTTATTATTTCATTTCACTTTTGTATGTTTTGTTAGAACAATTACTGTTCACTTTACAATATTTTAAATAAGAAAAATAAAATAAAAATAATGTTTTGAATTAATTACAATGCTGGTTTTTCATTGATATATTTGAAAATTTGAATATATAACTAGTTTATTAAGACATATTGAAAAGTAAGAGTTAAAATAAATGTAGATGTGGTACGAAGAAATGAAAAATGAATATAAATAGCGATAAATTGATCAACTCATCAATTATGTTTTGTGTTCGTCTTCGACGATCAATCGTGTAATTGATGTAAATGAAAGACATTGCATTATGAATGATTAATTATTCATCAATACAGCCAATGTTCCTAATAAGAACAGTTTTTTTGGAGCTGTCTGTAATTTCTTTTTTATTAAGTCATTTCTAATAATAATAAAAAAACGTTTACATATTTGAATGCAGAAATGTCTGCTGCATCGAATGGTGTAAAAATTAGCTAATTATCTCGAAAAATAATTAAGTAATTAGCGGTAGTTTGCGAGTAATTGAATTTGTTCTTATTAGGAGCACTGTTCCTAATAAGAACACTCTATGTAAAATACATAGAAATTGAAATATTTTTAGTAAATCGACTTTTTTATTCTTAGAATAAAAAATTTCCATAGACTTCTGGAACAAAAAATGTTTCTCATCAATCGATACCATTAAATCCAAAGGTTCAGATTTTTACAATTTGTAATAACTGAGTTATTACATTTTTAAAATCTCATCACCTGTTCTTATTATGAACACTGTTCCTAATACGAACAGTCAGCGAAAAAATGTTCCTAATTAGAACACTCTATGCAAAATACATAGAAAATAAAATATTTCTAGTAAATGAACTTTTTTTATGTCTAAACTAAAGAATTTCTTTGTGAGTCCATCACAAGAAATGTTCATTGACTAATGATGTATTAACTTCCAGCGGTTCAGGGTAAACAGAGTTATCTTATCGTGTATCACAATGATATAAAAATGACTGTTCGGGAGCGAATTAATTTTTGAAGTTTGAATAGAACTTTTCAACATAGTTCTGTTCAAATAGACTCAATTTTAGCATTTTCTGCTTCTTTGCCAGATAAATTAACTATATATAACGGATTCACTGTTGATGAATGATCAAGACAACGAAAATACGTGAATACTTCATCAATATCTATTGAATATGTTATATATCTTGTGAAAATCGTCCAGTATCAGTAAATACATGTTTGACGTTGACTCGATACGAAATTTATTTGATTCTAGCATTGCTACAATTATTACAATTATTTACTGTCAGCTTTAAATGAAAAAAAATTGAGAATATTATGATTTCTTCGACATCAGACCATTCGTAAGGGAAATTTGTATTTAAAATTTTTTGGCAAATGAGATACAATTCATCAAGTTAATAAATGAAAAAAAATTCCCTGACTTTCATGAATTTTATAGGAAAACACGACAAAAATAACGTTTTTTATGATCAACTCGACATGAAAATTGCAGTATTTCATTTTAATTGAATAAAACGAACATTTTATTCCCGTTGATATAATGAATTTACCTTTTTTTTTGGCAAAATTATAGGAATAATTTCATAAAAATTTCGATTTCATTCGCTAATAAAGAAGTAAATCAATTTTTCTCTGCGCTTCATTATTTTAATGACATTTTTCATTTATTAAATTTCTGAAAACTATACCAATGTTCAACTAATAGAATATCAGCTCACATTACGAATTCTATTATTTCTAAATCAAGTGTTATCTTAAATTAATTATTCCTTACTAACAATTTATTTGCTCACATGAATGAAATTTATCTTTTGTTGAAATATAAAAGAAAAAAATATTCTAGACACTTGAATAATTGTATTCCGGAGTATAAAAATGATGCCACTTTATCTATGATAAAGAGCAAATATGGTGTACCAGGAAGTACACTGGATAATTACAAATCAAATTCGAAAATGAGAACTGTAGATGGACGTACAATATCGTTAAGAAATCATCAATAACATATGATCGAGTGGTTAAAATATATTGACTTTTTTGACATTTTTAGGACGCAGTTTTTAATAAAATTTTACTCAATCTTTTATAGCAAAAGAAGTGAAATTAAAAGAAAAAAATTATAAATACACTACAAGGTTACATAGTTTAGATCGATCTAATAACACGGATTAGTTATGATAATTAATTTTAATCTTATTCTGTAATAGAAATATCACAGCTTCCAATTGATGTCATTTTTACAACATAAAAAGTCTATTTATCTTGAACCGCTGGAAGTTAATGTATCATTAGTCAATGAACATTTCTTGTGACGGACTCACAAAGAAATTCTTTAGTTTAGACATAAAAAAAGTTCATTTACTAAAAATATTTTATTTTCTATGTATTTTGCATAGAGTGTTCTAATTAGGAACATTTTTTCGCTGACTGTTCGTATTAGGAACAGTGTTCCTAATAAGAACAGGCGATGAAATTTTAAAAATGTAATAACTCAGTTATTACAAATTGTAAAAATCTGAACCTTTGGATTTAATGGCATCGATTGATGAGGAACAGTTTTTGTTCCAGAAGTCTACCGAAATTTTTTATTCTAAGAATAAAAAAGTCGATTTACTAAAAATATTTCAATTTCTATGTATTTTACATAGAGTGTTCTTATTAGGAACACTTTTTTCACTTGTTGTTCTTATTAGGAACAGTGCTCCTAATAAGAACAAATTCAATTACTCGCAAACTACCGCTAATTACTTAATTATTTTTCGAGATAATTAGCTAATTTTTACACCATTCGATGCGGCAGACATTTCTGCACTCAAATATGTAAAAGTTTTTTATTATTATTAGAAATGAGTTGATAAAAAAAGAAATTACAGACAGCTCCAAAAAAACTGTTCTTATTAGGAACATTGGCTGTAAAAGAATGTTAAAACAAAATAATTCTTTTCTATATAAATAAATCTATTTAATTCTATATCAGGAAATCAAAAACAAACATTTTATACCACCAAAAACTTATTGCATCAATTCTTCAAAAATAAACATCATGATGAAAATATCTCTTCGGAAAAAATTTGTGGATATTTTTTGATTAACGGACCATGGAAAATAAAAATAAGTCATATGAGAAGACAAATTGTTGAAATTATTGAATAATCATACACGAACAATAAATGACAATTCTTCTTTGTTTATTTAAAAGAACACTTTTATAGCTTTTACTGGTTTGTTTTTTAAACAAATGAATCTGTTTCTCGTAACATGATTCTATAAAGAAAAAAACTTGCATAATTTAATTGTTTTTTAAATTTGTTTCTATTAGATAATTCATTTTTGATCTTAAAGTATAACTACTGATGGAAATCACATCATTCAATTTTGATTTATCGAACCAATTAAATAGTTGTAATAACATGGTAATTAAATAACATTTTTTTAATTATAATACATAATAAATTCGTTAAGGATGAAACTACTTCTATCTCGAATAATGAAAAAACTGATTTAAAAAAAACTTATCGTGGTACTGTTATTCAATATTTCGAAAAACGAAATTATGGATTTATTCGCAAATACCGTTCTGAAAGGGAATAAAAACTTAAAATAAAATGAATGAATTTTAGGCCAAGCGATGCAATAGAAGATTTTACAAGAGATTTATTTTTCCATCAATCACAAATATTAAATGAAGGACAAGGGTGGGTGTGGGTGTGTTTTGTAAAAGTAATTCCAAGCTACTTACGACCGGTTTCGTCCTTGCTCAAGGGACGGCGTGTGGGTGTGGGTGTGAGGTGCGGTTTGCGTAGTTGTGGGTGGATGTAGTTGTTCTCTGTTCTCACACCTACACCCACACGGCTACATTCACATCCGCACTCCCATGACCTTGTTTATCTTAGATAAAAACTTTAATTGATGTAAGGAAAGACATTTTCGAACAGTCATTCTTGTGTCCCAAAACTTGTGGCGAGGACTGTAATTTTTGGCTTCGGTATGGGCTATTTGAGACATGTAAGATTTCTTTATGATGGGCAAAGTGGCTCCATCATGCAATCCAATAGAAATTTCGCTGAAAGCTTTATTCGTGCAGATCTTTTTATTACTTAATTTTGTTCATTTTCTTGCTCGTTAGTTGAGAAATTCAAAGAAGAATGTTGGTTTGAAAATAATATCAACGAAAACTAGAAGAACAATTGTCGTATGAGCTCCACATTTGAGCTTATACTGAGAAGTTTGGTTTTCGATCGAAGTTACTCGATACGGCTCGAGTCGGATATCGAACTGAACCTTCCCTTATAATACGGCAAGATAATCATTGGAAATTCATGCTTCTAGAATCATGTTTTCAAATACAATATCGGATAATCTGTACTTCATATACCATATAGATGCTCATCAATTTCATCATTCTTACATATCCTTTTGGAAAACGTTGCTTCAGCAATATTCCTGCTAGATGAGTTTCGAATTTTTTTTTCATTGATCAATGTTGAAAATCATAGGATTAAAAAACTGATGTTAACATGCAAATATTTTGAATTGATCAAATAACAATTTTCCAAAAAAAGGAACTGTTTACAAAAGTTGAAATGATGCTGCGATCATTAAATGATCCGATGGATGTGTCTCATCTGGATAAGATTCACCTGTTGGATGATCTGGCAAGTCTAACACTTTATTGACATGAAGATTACCAGCAAAGAATATGTAGTCAAGTGTAGCACAAAAGTTTGGCGTTTGTGATGTTGAAGCAAAATTTGTGTAGTTGGGCTCAGTACCATTTTTTTCGCAGTAGGCACTTTTCAATATCTGTTCACCATTCGGTCGATAAGATACTTCATATTGGTTCGAATTCGGTAATCGTACATGGTTAAGATAACTTTTTTCTGTTATCACGCGATAAGGAATCTCATTAGGTTTGAAATTGAAGTCACCTGCTAGAATAAATGGATGACCAGCCGCCATTTGAAACATAAGATCTTTCACCATCGAAGAATGTATTATCATAGTGTCCGGTATGCTATAGAGACAGGGCATGTGATATGTACCAATATATAGAGGTTTATCGTCGATTATGACTTGTAAACAAATGAGCGTATTATTTCTGCATATAGCGACATTCCAAGGATCGATTGTAGGCTTCTTACATCTGGCTAGAATAAATTCACATAAATCATGACACCATGCGAAGAAACCAGTCTGTTTCTCATGTGGTTCCATAGTCGAACGTAAACAATCTCCAATACTGATAAAATCGGTAGATATTAACTGCATTGAAGCTGGCAATGCTATGCCTACTCCCATATAATCATTGTACCGATTACCGTAGAGGCTATGATAAAACTTATAATTCATTTGACGGAACAATTTATTGAATTTGGGTAACATAGTATTGCCAAGTTCTTGTAAACAGATTATTGTATTTTCATGCAGGCGAATCTCTCGTTGTAACTGAGATCGAATTAAGCCCCATCGATATCGAGTTGTAAGAAATTCAGGTCGTGACTTTACATAGTATCCGGGCTCCTCAGCATAGATCTGTACTAACAAATTATAGGACACTATGCGTACCGTCATAGTATTACTGTGAAGATGTATGTAAAAGCCGTACAGAGAAATACAAATAGAGTTTTTACATTTGAACAGCCAAAAACAACCATACGATACACGACAGCGTGTTTTATATAAAGGTAATACATTGACAGGAAGAAAAAAAGGCATTTGTCTCCCACTACTCCCAGAAGAAAGAAAAAAAATTTCAACGAAGAATAAGAAATTATGCAAGAAGAAGAAAAAATATGACACATACACAATGACTCAATACAGAGAACGCAAGTTACTATAGCTGCACACATAGGCAATTTTTGACAATTCATCATTGGTCTTCAAACGAAGTAGTTCATATTTTTTAATTTATATAATGTGAATCACATTCGTTTTTATTGTACTCTACTCGATATTTATTATTATTTTGACAGAAACAAAAGTGAAAGCATTCTGATCGATTTGTTCCTCCCTGCATGATTGATTACCATGTAGGATTTCGTAGCAGCTCACAAAATTAGTTAAATCAATCAACGTGTGTAAGGCTAATTTGAAATAGTAATATGTAAAACAAATATTTTCTGTAACTATACGATCAAATTTTAAAACGACAGACAGAGCCTGCTTAACATCTCGATCATAAACTCGTATCAGGTTCAAAAATGTTGGAAACACAACACTTGTGTGCAGACAATTGTGTGTACAATCCGTTATGTGCAAATAAATATATATTGTCAAAAAATGAACACCCATCATCACAGATAAAAGTACAGAAAAATAACAAAAATAAATCTAGATGAACAAATCAATGAACAATTGTAGCATAAATGTTTGAGCAGTCGTTTTTAAGTTTTCTATATTACCAAATGAGTGACAACTTCTTATTCTCACGTCTTGTAAAGATGTTTAAGGAAAAATAATCATTTACAGGTAATGTGCCCGACTGTCGAATTGAAAAATTTCGAGAAAATCTATTTTGCTTTACAATAACAGCAATAGCAATATTTCAGAATAATGTCACTTTGCTCACCGAAAATTCCATGTGTGGGTACCACTTCAAATAAAGTCCTTTGACAAGAATTTTAGTTCGAGACAAACCAATTTATATAAGACTCAGGGAGAAGTGACTATTTCCAAAGTCTTTACCACCTCTCGTTCGAGATGACATTATTTTCGAAATAAAACATTTCGACATTTTGCATCTTTGAGATTGTCGTTTTTAAGATTTTTTTTGAGATTCCAACAACAATTCCATTCATATATTCTTTTTATTTTTTATATAATTAGTGGAACTTAAATAAACTGTCACTTGTGTTCAACATGTTTACAAAAATTATGAAGTCCTATCTTTATCATATATAAGCAGTATCTAGTAGTACAATGATTAATTCATTTTTTCAAAGTCTTGATGCTTTGCATATAATTGATGTGTACATGATCGTTGTTCTCATAATTGTCTTACACACAATTGTCATAGACCCAGAAATGTTATGTAGAGAAAAAACTCACAGTGCATTGTTTTTGTTTACTTCATGCCCAATACCGGATATCGACATGTCCTGTCCATTTTTTGCGCTACCCAACTACAAATAATACTTGACGATCTACTGCGAAAATTTCATTTCAATAGACAATACACGGGAAGAATTGAAAGCTTTGTAACGCATAACAACAGAATATGAACAATAGATAATGCAGTGAAAGAGTGAACATGAAGATATTTCTCTGTCAGAAACAGTACTAAAGATGATGAAACATAGACAACAACAAATACATGGACTCATAAGCAATAAAAGACGTTCCAACGAGAAGGTAGATGCATAAGTCTCGATCGTGGGATGGCATCTGAGAGTTGTTTTCTTGCAATTCAAGACGAACTAAGACGAGTGTCAAAATAGTCATGAACAAGAGACTGAATAATACTGAGATCAGATAATTTCCATAGGTCCAGCTTCGCTGTATGCCACATTTGGTTTTCATAAACTGGCTGAAATCCAAACTTGAAAATGAGGGTTTAGTGGTTTCACTTTCAACTTTCATCTTATTTGCCAATGCTTCAATAATTTACCCTAATTTTATCGAAGCAATAGAGCATTACACTGGATCAAAAAAAGCTTGTTAACGCAGCCCCTCTGGGGCTGAAATGTGGAACTCACATATGCTCTCTAGCCTCATTCAACTGATACAAAATACGTAAAGTGCAAAATCTCTCTTAGACTATAATTGTTGTGCAGGATAATCGACGCCCAAAGTAATGAACTCTCTAAATTCTGCATTTCGAGCAGACTTTTTTTCTATGTGTGCTCTATTATTTATTTGCATTGTTGCAATTTGCTCATTATTTTTCATTGTTTTTAATTCGTTCTTATTAATTTAACATTCTTATCATTATAATCATTGAAATAATTGGCAAATAAGTCTTTTTTACATATTCATGATATCTACAGCAGGGTGTGTGTCGATTATAAGAAGAGTAACACCGACATCTATATCCTGTTATGTTATGTTTTCCAACTTCAATATGTTATAGATGAAAATTGATTTCACACTGCCAATTTATCTCGTTTATTAAAGAATCATCACAGTTATATATAGGATGATGAACAAACCGCTATGCTGGGAATATCCGTACAAGATTTAGGGGAAAATTCTAGCAGGCAAAGTATTGGGAAATATGTAACGAATATAAGTATAGGGGAATACCTAGCTAGAGAACAGAAAGAGAAAGTGATATATATGTACGACAGAAAAGAATGACACATATATTATAACAGTAAGAAAGAAGAAAGAAGATCACATCCATATTTAATGATCAGAACAAAAAAGGAAGTGATTCATATCACCACCTAACAACCCACACCGACAAGTGTAGCCATATCCACACCCACACCCCTTATACCACGGAAATGGTCACTTATACCAAGACTATGGTACTTTGTACAATGCACATGGTCATTTGTACCAAGTGTTGCAGACAGACAGACACAGGTGAATTTCGGTTTCTAGACTCCATCCTTTCAGTCTAGGGAAAACTTTAATCCGCGAAGTCCACGTCAAGTTGGCGTTGGTGATTATTTGTTGATCATGTCGATTAATAGTATGATTTCGCTGATTCTCCTGTTTGTAAAAGTCATCTTGATTCTGTCTGGAGGCGCTGCATTGTTTGTCAACAACATGGTCAGTTTAAACATGTGTAAATCGGTATCACCACTCCTTTCTGTATCAGTCGTATTAATTATTGGTTGATAAGCTTGGTTAGCGTTGAGCGATTATGTTCAGTATTATTTCCGACGATGGCAGTAATCAGAAAGTCATCCGTAGCGGTTTGCCGAGTCTAATAGTAATCGTGATGCTCTTTGGAATGTATGTACATGAATTTATCCATTATACTACTATTGCAGCTGATTCAAGTGAACAAAATTCGAGTGCCCTCATCTGTGTCACAAATTTTAATTGTCCAGGCTAGTTGTTGTACAATCGAATAAATGTCATTATCCATCATGTTGTACCGCTCCTAATTCAAATTGTTTCGGTCACATTCCTCATTGTACTAGCCGCTAAAAGTCGCGCCAAAACTGGAGGCAATAACAAAGAAACTTTCTGTCAAGTCTTATCCAAACAATTGCAAAAACAAAAGAAATTGTATCTATTGCCTGTAATCATGGTTATTTCATCGCTCCCGCAAATTATATTTGTCTTAAACTTTGAGTGTACAGATATTCGTCATGATTGGCAACGCTACATTTTAATAGAAACTTCCTTAATCACATATTGTCCACAAATATTTAGCTTTGTCATTCATGTCCGCCCATCAAGCATGTATAAGGCAGAGTTTGCAAGGACTTTTATCGGTATTAGACTGATGAGAAGAAAGAAAAGCGTACTATGACGATCGTGCATTTTATGCATTAGCAATTTGAAGCATTAAAGACTTCTGTGCAAAAAATATGCTTTACTTGTGTACTGAATAAAACTGATATAACTCTTACTAAGACATCTGTAAACAAAATGGCAAACTTCAAAAGCTTTCAGTGAATCGCTCGTACGACTAATATATACAGTCAAGTGAAGGGGTGTGGGTGTGGGTATTCGTTTTCTCTTCAGAAACACCCACACCCATACCTGCATCAGTCAGGTGGTTACTTTTGTAAAGTTAGTTACTTTAGTTACTATTTACTTTTGTAAAATAACTACTTTAGTTACTTATTTACTAGTAAAGTAAAGGTAAAGTAACATCATGACTCCCTAATATTACGTCTGGTTGGTTGTAGGCTGGTGCGAGATAAGATGGTTGAGTACCACGGCAGTCAGACGATTGCCAATGCTCTACATTAGTTTGTGATGGGGTGCTCGAAATCGCATTCATATCAATATTAGTGATTGTTGGAAGAATGGTATCCATGGACGTGGAAAACGATTATTGGGCTCGTTCTTTATTTTAGTCAATTTAGTAATGTTGTTGAGAATCATTGCATGTTTGCACAGCTTTTTATGAAAGTGATGAATAATCAAAAGTTTCTCCTGCATAGGTGAATGATGATTGCGCTCGTTCTGTAAAATGATTCATTTAATAGTTTTGCAAACCAGCAGAAATGCATATTGGACTGAATTAATCAAGAGCAATATTTGATCTCTCCTCTCGTTTGTGATTATTCAATAATTGCTGTGTGGACATAAAGTGTTTTTCGCTCTTTGGTAGTGTTATCGAAAGTAAATAATGGACTCATTTGTATAAACGTAGAGAAAAATGGCAGCTCACGTATCTCGTCAACGGAAATGCATTGAATGGATGTGGAAATCGAATTCCAATCCATGGTTACGTTCTGAGTCGGAAGAATGATGTTCTTATTCCGATGTTGAAGCAGCGATCATTGAAGAAGCATATATGAAGAAATAATCGAAGGCACTTCTCGTTGATTATCATATCGATTTCAAACACTCCGTGCAAATTTCGAGCAATAATTTGAACAATCAACGACCAGTTAAAAGAATGATTAAATATGATCGAGGAGAATCACTATTGAGAGAAGAAAGATTCATGCCTCATGCAGTGATACTATCGGTACCCTTTAACGCGGGTCATTCTTGGAGAGGACGCTTTCTTGATGCGCTCATTCTTCATTACAAATTCTCGCGTATAAAACCACTGGACAAAGGTACCGTTCGTCAAATGATAGTCGAAAAAGCTGCCAAAGGTATTATCATTGGAGCTAAGAAGGCGGGCAAACAAAAAGAAGGAGAATGGATGACCCATTGGCTACTTAATGTCAAGAAACAGTTTCGGCAACATATATGGAAGTGTTGTACACATCTCTATTCCATGGAATCATTTTTGTACAAGAAGTTGAATGACGTAATGCGCCTAGTAGATGATGGGGATGAAGAACATGAAGATATATGGCAAAGTAAACTGCTGACATTTGACCCATTCGCTCTTCTTCTCTACGAATTAGGAGACCATAATATCAACAAAAGTTTCACGATTGTTTATCGAGGTGCTAAATTGTCAGATGATTTGATTGAGCAATATCGAATCGCAGCTCAGGCATTTTACATTCTCGCCTTTCCCTATTTCACCTCCACCAGTCGAAATCGAGCTAGAACCGAACAATTTGGCAATGTTCTCTTTGTTATCGATACACGTTAGTCGGATGGTCGTGATATATCGTCTTACTCGAAATATTCACATGAAGAAGAAATATTACTCAATCCCAATTTGTATTTCTATCTTCGATCATGCGTTTTCGATCAAGTCAAGAGCAAATGGGTTATTCATATTGAATATTCTAAGGTATTCAGTAGTGTTTCATCTGATTATTTTTGACCATGAATTAATTTTAAAAAAAAAGATGTGCATAAAAAACGGGTGGGAGTACCATTTGACATGGCATATCGTCATCCAGACATGAATTCAGTATATATTTACAAAGAGAAAAAGGGAAAGTGAAAAAGAAAGTCATTTTTCATTAGCTGTCACTTTTTTATATACGATCCATAAGTGAGTATGCATAGTTTTCATGGGTGTATATTTTTTTGAACTTTATATTTGATTGCATTATACGAAATAATTCATGGTTCCATTTCTCCGCGTTCGCAAATGTTTTTTGTATGTCTTTCCAAAAGTTACAATAAAGTTACAAATATTGCATATCTACTTATGAATCGACAGCGACAACTTAATAGTCCTAAATTTGCGATATCTTTGTTAAAACAATATCTATGTGGCTGGCAAGGAAAATCAGCGTGTGCAGACGTGACCTGCTGAGATGACGAGTGGAATTACTGTAGCTAGTGTCACCGAGACGGCCGATTCATCCATACGGTATTCATTTAATGCTTTTGTGGCTGCCATTGTCAAGAGACGACATGTTGTATAACAATCGGCAATTTGCGTACTGCTTGCACCTATAAGTTGTTTATAATTAGGATGCAGAAAAGCACCAATAATATAATCTTCATCCATATTAAACATACTGGATAGTAACTGCAACGCTCGTTTGTAAAAGAATTTCATACCTACAAATAAATATGTGTTAATTGTGTAAGCTTAAATCTAAAACAGTAGTGGGAGAGATACTACTTTTCGTAATTTATAGTGACTAGTTAACAAAGTGAAGCTGGCTATATTAAAAATAAATATAGCGGCGCAATGTAAATCATCATCATCGAAACTGAGCCTACTCTTCTACTAGTGACACATAATTTATTTTAAATTTTCATCTCTGTAAATCTATTATATAATTATCATCAGCCTTTTAATGTCTTCTTGAGGTCAAGAGGTATTTTTCTGTGTACAGTAGACATAATTTAGTAGAATCGACGTCGAGAAAAATATTTCAGAAATAGGATTCATATCTAATCTTACCAGATCTTTCTTTTCGATCACCATTTGACAATTCATTCTGAAGGAAGAACAAGAAAGAGTGATGGTGCATTTGTTTTTTGTAATTCATTAAGAACAACTTTCCATGGATAAAAAAAATGAATTAATTTTTCTACAATACCCATATTGATTTTCTGTATGCGGTAATTTTGTTTATTATTATTGAGCAAAATAAATAGAGATGGATATGCAATTTTTATACTTTCCAAAAGTTCACAAAGTGATAACCATCGAACGATGGATGATTGATGGAGAGTTCTTCTTTCAATTGCTTTTTTACTTGTATCTCCATCTGAATCTTCATTCTCAGATTTGTTTTGCAAAAGCTGCAATTGTCGATTCAAACCACTCTAAAATAGAAAAAAATCAATCAAATATAGGAAAAAAATGACATACTTTTTTTATATATTTAACCAATGATTTACAGTTCTTAATTGTAGTTAATATTTCAAGAATGTTATTTGGTAATTGATTAAAAGCTAAGTCCTTGTAATCATGATTATCACCAAAATCACAGTTATCGCCATAACCACAACTATCACCATCATCGTCCTCATCTTCTTCATCATCTCTAAAAAAAAATAATTGTGTTTTTTTTGTTCTTTTTTTATTTAATATTCGCATCAAGGTATATATTTGACAAAAAATAAATGATATAAAAAAAACTTACGATTCATCTTCACGAATACCTTCCGTAGAATCTTCGATTTCTGGTGATGGTTGAAGATTGGCTATAGATTTCTTTTTTTTCTTTTTTGGTGTTTCTTGAATTTCAGTGATAGTTGTATTTGATTGAACTGAAGTATTTGATGACTTAATTGAATTGGTTTTTATTGGGTTTTGATAAAAACATCGTTTTAAGATATTATTTAATCTAAGTGCTACACAAAATGACACTTTATTCACTCGAAAAGTCTTTATGAAGTTGCTTCCATGATCAGTAACAAAAGTAATATTGTCCATGTGTTGATCGAGACCAAATTGAACAAGCTGACTCTGCATTAACTAAAATAGATAAAAACAATCTTTCAAGGAGAAAAATATCCTAGTGCGTCAGAGAGATTAAGTATTTTAAGGAGATTTTGCTGATGAAGGTCGAGACAATAATAAAAGTGTATTAAAATTTTCATACTGTTTCTTTTCTCAAGTAGCCTTATAGCTTGACTTACTCGATATATATTTTCGCCTGTTTTCTTAACATCCATAATCTCAACGCAAAAAAGATAGATTACATGATAAGTTAAATTCTCATCAACAAAATGTACAGTTGCTCCCATGTAATTAATGTCACGATACTTGTCGGCCCAATTGTCTGGACTAATTGTTAAAGCTTTATTTGCTACAGCTTATCATAATACACATTTGAGTTTGTTTCTCATATCATAAGCTAATTTTCGAAGTTCATCTTTAACGGTGCGATCACTTGGAAGAAGATCGTCCGCTGCCAGATTTAATTCACCACGACATTCTCTCCCTAAATACAAATAAGCAAATTAGACAGCATATTAATTTAGGAAGTGGCTATGTACACTCACGTAGGTATAAGCAATGAATTCGTAAATTTTAAGTTGTATTATGGTCTTAAATGTACCTCTTGATCAATATAAGAAAAATATTTTAAGTTATTACTAATTTTACTTTATTAATTTTTATTTTGTACAAATGAATTACAAAATCAAGTATTACAATCGAAAAAGTAGAATAACAATAATCAATTCAAATAAGCATAAACAATTTTAGATACTTTTCTAGCGCTTCTTCTCTAGGACTTTGAAGGAAATTATTGTATGTTATTATTTTCAATATCTTTAATGAGAATAATGCTATGTCACAACTGCCTCTGTTAATCGCATTTTTTTGCTATTGATTATTTATGTGATCGAACGGAAGATCACAAATTTATTTCTTAATTAATTGGTTACAAAATAAGAAATTGAAAAATATGAAAAGCCAATTGTCTCTCAATAGGGAATGTACCTTTTATTAAGATACATTAATTAACGTTTACTTCAACATTCTCTGTTGCTGTTTATTAACACTTGTAAATTAAAAGACAGAGTTTTCGTAATCTCATTTATAGAAATTTGTAAATATGATGACACCACTAAGAAACATCTATTGTATTCATTCTAAACATTGATTTAAAAGTCTATTACATTATTATATTTGAACCACAATACAGATTTTGTTCAACAGTACGCTGATATTAATCTGTTACTGTTGATTCTTGACTTAACGTTGACCAGCTTTGAATTACATCAATATTAACTTTCGAGCATAAAAATGGAACAAGATAAAGAAGTTTTCTTTACGATGCAATTCGACAATTGGGTAGATTTCGAAGCATATTTTAAAAATTGGTGCAATAATTACTATCAACCAGTGAATATTAAGCGTCATTCAATGAAATATAATGAAAAAACCATGAAAGAATTGTTTAATCGTTTTCGATACGGAAACGTGAAGTACGTATGCCATCATAGTGGTCCTGTTAGAAGACATCTAAAGGATGGATCAAGACCAAATCAAGAATCTGCTCGAATGGATTGTCCGTTCTATTTTAAAATAAAGCATGATACGGAACTAAATAAAATTGTTTTTTTGAAGAATCGAAACTTATTTCATAATCATCCTATTGAAGAGATAATTTACAAAAAATATACATTTATAAGAAATAAAGAATTAGAAGAAAATGAGCAAGCACATGATTTATGTCAAATGCTTATTACTGCTAATGCTTCAACATACAATAATCGTAAAATAATACACGAAAAATTTGCCATTAATTTGACAAGAAAAGATGTAAACAATTTTAAGCAAAAAATAAAATTCAATTTAATTGGAAATCAAAGTGATCCAGAATTGTTGCACACATGGATAGATGAAATTTTAAATGAAAATTCTAGCAATTCAATAAAAATAAAAATAAAAATAAATGAAAATGGTACTTTAGAATGTTTATATATTCAGACCGTGCACATGAAAGAATGGTTTGATAAATATTCGAATATTCTACATATTGATTCAACATTGAAAATAAACATTGAAAATTATCAATTATTTATTTGCTTGGTTCAAAATGCAAATTTAAAAGGAGTACCGGTTGCTTATTGCTTAATGACAACTGGAAATAAAGATAATTTAGAATTTTTTTATTCGACAATGAGTCAACAAAATGATTTAACACAAACACAAGTTGTTATGGTTGACAAAGATTTAACAAACATAGATATTTTACAAGAATATTTTCGTCAAGCACGAATATTATTATGCATTTTTCATGTTCTTAAATATCTCAAAATTCGAATTCATGAACTTAAAATTCCATTAACAAATCGAATGAATATTATGAAAAATATTCGCAAATTACTTTACGATAATAATCAAATGTCAGCTATTTATTTAAAAGAAATCAAAAATAACTCTGAAGGAACTGACTTCTATAATTATTTTGAAATCAACTGGCTTACTTGTTGTGAAAGATGGCAAACACAGTATCGTAAAAATCTGTTTAACTTTAATACAGATACAAACAACCATCTTGAACGGTTTAATCGTAAAGTTAAAGATTATATATCACCTAACATGCATATTTCTGAATGCGTGAAAAAATTGATTATAGTGGTCGAAGATGCTAAAGCTGAAGAAATCAATACAAGCATTAGTTTGAAAAGACGGATTTACAATTCTGATGATTCAAATTTGCTTAAGAGATTTGGTTTCCAGATTACAAACAAAGCTATTGAATTATTGCGTAAACAAAAAGAAGAATTAAAACATAAATGTTATTTTGTTGAAGAAATTGAAGAAAACAAATGGACAGTTGGTCAAAAAGATGAAGAAAATAAAAATTTCATTACTTCAAGTATAATTGATCGCAACTCGTGTCAGGGCTTGTTCACTTGTGATTGTCAGTTTCATTTGCAAAACCAATTACCATGTCGCCATATGATAGTATTGCTTGATAGAATCAATGATGAGATATACGATCACACAAATGAAATTCAAGAAATAATATCAATTAACAAACGTTGGTTAAAAAGTCCTACTGATTATTATTTAAATGAAATGGAACATAATGACATATTACAAAATCATGACTCACAATTAAAATTAACTGAAATCTCTGTACAAAAAAATAAAATTTTAAGTAGTAATGATAAATACAATATGTTGAAACCAACTATGGATTTATTAACAGCTCGATTAATTCAATGTGGAACTAATGAGTTTAATGAACATTTAAATTTTCTTAATGTTCTTGTCACTTTAATCAATACAAACAAACATAAAGATCTGTACAATTGTGCTAATCCTTTAACATCCAATTGTGCCAAGAAAAATAGTCAAGAAATGCAACACAAAATATTTACAAATTTACCTGATGATATGCAAAAAGAATCAACAGCAAAGTTTCAATTAAATTTTATCGAAGTTGAAAAAGAAAGTAAAATGGAACTTAATCCACGAGAAGAGTTAGAACAAGATCATGGAATTAATTTCTCTGAAGAAAAGAAAAAGCAATCACCTACATTTGAATCAAATTTAGAACCTGAAGCAAACGAAGTACAAGATCATCTGTTATCAAAGAACAAAATGATTTTCAGTTATTCACCGGTAGCTCATCCACCCGGTAGGCCACGTGGTAAAACATCATTAGTGGCATATAAGCAAAAAGACAAGAGAAACAATGAAGATAAAACGAATAAAAAAAGAAGCTATAAACAACTTTCACCAGATATAAAAACATATAATTATAAACGTAATAAAAAAGTTGATTCTGTTCGTGATGTTTATGATAAAACAACATGGTTAACAGACTTTCATATATATTTATTTTTTGAATTATTACATGAACAGTTTCTGAACATTAACGGTTTATGTGGCCCTGCACAAATAAAATTATATTCAGGCTCATTGAAAAACTCGATCTTTATTTTTAATGCAAATAAAAACCATTGGGTAACGATCTCAAATTTGAACTCTAATAATCTTTGAAAAATTTACGATTCTTTAAATTATCCCAAAGAATCATTTATTGAATTTTTTAAAAGCATCTTACCTGATGAAGAAAAAGTTATAGTTTCCTTTGAAAATGTTCAGCAACAAGTTGGTGGTAATGATTGTGGATTATTTGCATTAGCATTTGCTACATCTCTTTGTTATAGTGATAGTCCACCATTATTATTTTATCATCAAATGTCATTACGTAATCATTACGTAAAATGTATTGAAAGTAATACCATACAACCATTTCCTTCAAAGTTCAAGAGAGGAAGCAGTAGAAAAGTATCTAAAATTGTTGATATTTATTTAAATTAATTATTGCTATTGTACTGTTTTGATTGTAACACTTGATTTTGTAGATAATTCATTTGTACAAAAAATAATTAATAAAGTAAAATTAGTAATAACTTAAAATATTTTTCTTATATTGATCAAGAGGTGCATTTAAGACCATAATACAACTTAAAATTTACGAATTCATTGCTTATACCTACCTGAGTGTACATAGCCGTGTGGCTATGTACACTCGAGTGTACATAGTCGTGTGGCTATGTACACTCGTGTGTACATAGCCGTGTAGCTATGTACACTCGAGTGTACATAGCCACTTCTATTAATTTAAAATTTACCTATGTCCAAACATGCTTGTATAATTCGTTTAAAGCCGGGATCATCAACGATGCCAAATGAACGCATCGAGCCAACAATCCATCTTGTGCATAACTTTTTGATATTCTCCTTTTTTTTGCTTCACTTTTAGAAAAGTTATATGCTGACCGAGGAGAATGAATGAATGAAGTAAAACTAAGTTAGTTTGATCAGATGATTTATTCCGATGACAACGATGACCATATAAGTTAGCTGTGCTGGAATCTATATATTTGTACGCATCAAAGCATGTTTTGCACGAAACAAAACCAGGTATAACTTCACATTTTTTCACGTCGCCATCCTTTACTTTTGCAGAAAAGCCGAACGTTTTCCAGCAAAATGCCGTTGCTCGCTTGTTTTTATTACAAATTACTTGAAAATGAGTATTATCTTCAATTAACGCATGTCGAATAGAAGATGTTGAATAAGTTGATGTTGACGCAGATGATGTACGAGTTGGTGTTGCACAAGAAGAAGTGGATGACGATGTATCATCAACGTTTAACATAGTTATTTGTGACGTTGATCTAAAATTCAATCACTAACATTAGACCGCCGTTTAGACTGAAAAAGAAAACGGAACGATTAAGATAACACGTTCTTTGTTAGCGGTTATCTTCTATATCAATTCATATGCACTCGCCCATAACGATATATGAGAAAAAAAAGAGGTCGCTGTCAACCGAATGAGTGAGAAAAAATTTGATTCGATTCGATTCGGCTGAGTCGAATCGAATCGAATCGAATCATTCGCTTATTCGATTCGGTTTCGAATTCTGGTATAAATCGGTCGACTTTGGTTTTCGGAGAATGCCGTTTTTCCTTTTTTTATCTTTAGATGAGTCACATAGGCTGCATACGATTCGTAAGCTGAATTATCACTACAGTAAACAACGCAAGCACGATAAACATTAAACTGCAATGGTCGTCACCGCTTTAGTCATATTTTCTTTTCTGTTCTAAACTATTACATATGGCGGTGCAAGAATATGTTTTTTTTCTATACCTCAAGCGAGAGCATAATAGTGTTGGCAATCGGGTAATATTGAAATAGTGTAGACAGGTAACTAAGCACAACTCCCTTTTTTTTGTTTTGTTGCTTTTCGGTCTGCGGATTGACTCAATCATTGTTCTTCAGTAAAGATGTATGTTCCGTATTGTATTATTATTTTCATAAGGGTTACGGAATGGCTTTTCTCAACATACCACAAGTAATCTAGTAATAGAGAAAATGACTTTGTGTTTTTTCGTTTTCTATTTGATCACTTTTAAACTAACGTCATAATAATAAAATTCCGACAAGAGCTATTTTTGTGTAAAACGTGACGGTTGTGTACTAATGCTATTTGGAGAAAGACCGAGTGAGTATTTTTTTTAATAACTTTTCATAAGAGCGAGATACAGGACTACGGTTTTCACCATTCGAAAGAAGAAATGAAGATACATCGCATTTTCCCATCTGATCCTTTTTTGATGTTTTCCAATCGACCTCTTTGAACATAAACCTACTTCTCGAGGTGTGTTATACCAAATTTTCAATTGTAAAATTTGTATTGAAACCGTCAATAGAATATCTACAAAGTAAATAAACTTCAGAAAACAAAGTTGGAACATGAAAACTTATCAAAAAAATACCCACTCGGCCTTCTTTCAGGTAGTATTAGCACAGTCATCACATTTTATCGGCAAATAGCTCTTATCAAAATTTTATTATGATGTTAAAACTTGTGAGCAAATAGAACAGGAAGAGAGAGAGAGTCGTTTTCTCTATCAATACATCAAAAAAGAAATTTTGTACAAGCTTTCTATATGGAAATACGATAATGACAACATAGTTTTTGACATGCTATAAGTAGTAGGTATACGAGACACAAGATATAAAATCAGGACCTCTCACAGTTTTGTGTAAAACGAAAGTTTTTTGGTAAACCATTACCTATATATATTGTTCAACGGCACGATTAGTCAATCGAGGCTAATGAAATTCCGAGAACCTTTTTTTTGACACCACACTTAACTAAAATCTGACAGTTTGATTTTGAAATATTTGGGATCACATTTCGATAAAAATTGTATAGTTTCAACGTGAAGCTTTCTAATTAAAAGAACGACTTGATTCTTCTACTTAACAAGTCGCTGTAGTTGCTCCGATACAACTTTTGTGTCACGCAAATAAAATGTGATGATCTTATTAGATTGAATCATAATGTTAAGGTTGAAATAAATAACTATTTAAGGCATCATTTGAACAGAAAGAAATGCGAATTTAAAAGACTCATGTGGCTACTTAGCTTTCCATTAACGGAAGTAGCTGCATTTTTGATTGTATCCTACTCAGAGTTATTGAATTTTATTTATAAGGTAAAGAGGTCGAGTCATACGTAAAGAAAAAGAAATGCGAATGATAGCACTTATTATAGATTTTGACCATGACATCATCCCATCGTATTAATCATGAAGTTGTAATCGTAATTTCAGCTAATTAATTAGTTGAATAAATATCATCAGCTTTTATTAGAATAGTTATTTCTTGATAGATGAGTTGATTTGTTTTTAAAACCGTTGAAAATCATAGTTTAAAAACGTAACAAAAGTCGGACCATTTTTTAAATTGTTCCAAACCCAAACAGTAACGACTAACTGGTCAGAAATGCAACTTTTCCAAATGTGCTTAGCCACAGTTTTAAACGAATTTTTTGATATTGACAAAATTCAAACAGTTGTTTGTTTACTTTCTTATTTTAGAAATGTACAAGGCTAATACATGAGTATGCGCATTAAAAATAGAAAATTCATTTTATTAATTCTTCTTCGTTTCAATTATTCATGCCAAACATTTTTTCTTCTCATTTTCTTTCTAGTAGATCATTGAATTTATTGTGATATCTTAAAACTACGTCTAATACCCAACATGGCCTTACGTTTCAACGATGACAATAGTCGCTCATCATTTCCAATGTATTTTGGTCGTCAAACAAAATTTGGTGACGCTGCTTCTACACCATTGAAATTGATTAAACTGCATGTTGAACAACAAGTGAATGCAAACTTTCCGCTCATACATCAAGTAGCAACAACAATGACATTTAAAAATGATTATAATCGAGTATTAGAAGGAGCTTTAGAATTTACATTACCTGAAAAAGCAACGATTTGTGGATTCGGTGAGTTGAGTAGATAATATGATGAGAACCAAATTAGGATGTTAAACGTATTTTCTATCATAGGTCTCGATATTGATGGTATCATTGTTGATGGTGTTGTTGTTGAAAAAGAGAAAGCTCGTATTACATTCGAAAAAGAAGTTCGAAAAGGTGTTGATCCTGGATTAGTCGAAATGGTTCAAGGAAATATATTTCGTACAAGAGTTTATCCAATACAAGCTGGAGGTATACGAATAGTACGTGTCATTTATCAAGATCAAGCAAAAGTTGAAAATGATCATTTTATATTCAATATTCCGATCTACTTCACTACTACTCTCGACAATTTAGATATTTCATTAATTTGTGCACATGCACCAAATCATTCTCAACCACAATTTCTTTCAAATGTTAAATTTCAACAGCCTTTTATTAATGCAAATAGAAAATATAGTTCTGAACTTCATCTAGTCAATGTTAAACCATTGGAAGGTGAACAGTCTATGACGTACATGTTACAAAATTTAGCACAAGAACAAGCCCTTTGCAGTGTAGAAGTTGATTCCGATGATCGTAATCAAGCCTATTTTGCTCTAAGCTATATGCCATCATTCCAACAATGCAATACAATGATAGATAATTATGAAAAAGCAATGTCCATCTGTCTACTATGGGATGCAAGTTTAAGTCGAGTCAATGTTGAAAATCGTAATCATGAAATAAATATTCTCAAGAATATATTGAATATTTGGCAATCCAATGGTATCAGTGTAAACATAACTGTCATTGTATTTCGAGATGTACTTGAAGAACCGAACACATTTCAACTACATGATAAAGATTATTGGTCAAAACTTAGTCAATTTTTAACTGCTTTATCATATGATGGGGCAACAAATATATTTCAACTATCTACAATTTCAACAATTATACCAAATATAACACACTGTTTTCTGTTTAGTGATTGTCTTTCGACCATTGGCAATAATGATCCGACACAGTTGAATCAATTAACGATAAAACCACTTTGGATATTTAATGCTAATGCGGCACATGAACCAAAAAATTTTTCATTGATTAATTATCTAACTAATGTCAGCGGTGGCGGTTATATTTCGCGTGACAAAATCATGGGACAAAATAGTGCAAACCATATCGTTCAATGGATTGATAAGCCACAAGCAAGATATATAAGTACAGATATTATCACTAATGCAAATGTTCATGATATTTATCCGAGTCATTCAATTGTGTTAATACCAAATGCAGAAAGATTTATACTCGTCGGAAAAATGTCATCAACAGTTTCAGCTAAAATTGCTATTAATTTTTCTATCTTGAATCAAACGCATCGTAAAGAATTAATAATAGATAGCGCAGATTCAACATCTGAAAACTATGGATTATTACGTCGTTTATATGCAAAACAAATGTTAACTGAATTAACTGCATTTCCAGAAAAAAATAAAAAACGTATACTAGATATTGGTATGAAATATTCAATTGTGAATGATTTTACATCCATACTTGTCCTGGAAACATTAGAACAGCATATTGAACATAATATATCTCCACATCCATCACGTACAGCATTATACAATGATTATATGAAATATCAGCAGAATAAAAATCATAAAGAAACCACTAAAACTGAAGCGAAACTGGCAGCTGTCTTAAATTTATGGCAAGCACGATGCGCATGGTATGATAAAGCGATAACCGACACAGACCGTAGAAATGCATTCAAAAAGAAAACTTCTAGTCGGCATGACAGGGAAGTACGTAGCCTACGACAACGAATGCAACCTTATTCGGGCTCTGCTATGAGTCCCATATCTTACGAAGCAAACCTATGCGCAATGAATGACACAATGGAATGCGAATCATCGGAAGACATGAGTTATTCACGTAGTTTTGCATCATTTATAGAACCACGTTTGGAATTACGCTCGGCCCAATTGAGAAACTCTGTAGAAATGTTTTCGAATGAGAACTATGTGAACGAATATGCTTCCAATGATTATTCTCTTGTCAACCAATTAAGATCGCATAGTGTAGTTCAACATACCTTCAATGATATATCTACTACAAGTAATAATAACAATAATACTACCAGCAGTACTCATACAATTACTCTTCAAAATTGGGATCCAAAAACACCATACATGGAAAAAATTAAATCAAGCAGCAACTTACAAACAACTTACGAGGTTTATTTAGATGAACGTCAATCATATTCTAAATCACCTTCATTTTATTTTGATGTAGCATCCTATTTTTTCTCACAAGCTAATTCTGTAATACCGAAGCCATCATTAATTGACAAATTTAACCAACAATATTCAATTTCATTGTTTGGCATTCAATTATTTTCAAAAAAAACCGACAGCAACAGTAATGCTAGTAATTCCAGTGTAAACAAATATCACATTTTTGGTTTACGTATTTTAACAAACGTATTAGAACTAGAACTGGAATCACCGCAATTATTACGAACTTTTGCTTATAAACTTGTCGAGCTTGGTCTTTTGAATTTAGCTGAGAATGTTTTACGACATATCGTAAATTTAAGATCGGATGAACCACAATCATATCGAGATCTAGCATTATTATTGCAAGAATCCAATATTCAAAATAAGAATATTGCGGAAATATCAGATCTATTTAAAACAGTTATATTGGGTGAGTGGGATGAACGTTTTACTGAAATTGAAGTTACAACATTGCACGAATTTAATTGGTTTCTATTTGAATTTCATCAACAACAACAAATATCTAATTCTCTTGATAATCGTCTAATTCGTCATTTACCAGTCGATTTAAGAATTGTTATGATCTGGGATACAAATGATACAGATGTTGATTTGCATGTCATTGAACCAACCGGTGAAGAATGTTACTATTCTCATAAAAATACAGCCATTGGTGGCATGATAAGTCGTGATTTTACACGTGGCTATGGACCAGAAGAATATCTGATTCGAAAGGCGGTGAAAGGTACATATACAGTTCGCGCAAAATATTTCGCTAATCATCAACAAAGTCTAACTGGTGCAACAACAATAATGGTACACATTTATAAATATTATGGCCAATCGAATCAACAAAAAGAAATGGTTACACCACGATTGGATAGTAACAAGGAAATGATTGACGTATGTAAAGTGGAATTCGATGATCATGTCGAACGAAAATCACAAAATATGACAACTCATGATCACAAATCGAATACGAATGTTCATGAAAATGTGACTTATGATGGATGTGATATGTCACCAATAAAAGGTGATCGTTATAAATGTTTATTTTGTCCAGATATTGACTTTTGTCAATCATGTCATTCGGCTAGTAGATCATACAATGATCCGAATCATTTATACAATCATCCATTGTTATGCATTAAAGATTCAAATGAATACATAGAGGCGCTTTACATACAGAATCGTAGTAAAATTATTCATACAAACATTCAATGCAATTCATGTTTTATGCAACCGATAATAGGCATTCGTTATCAATGTATTTGTGGAATAAATTTATGTGAAAAATGCGAATTCGTGGGTTTGCATGATAAAAATCATCATCGCACAAAAATAACTACACCAGTATAATTCAATTGAACTTTTCACTTCGTTTATCTTTGTCGGACTGACCTTTTTGGCGAACGATTAAATTTCACTACATATGAATTCACTTTATTGCTTAATTCTATCTATATAAAATTGATTTCACAGCAGCTAAGAACTTTTCCGTTTTTTGATAAATTAAACTAACGATTACAATAAAAAACTATTTAAAAATAACTCGAGCTTTCGATGAATTTAATCATCATTTTCAAGAGAACTTGTAAAACATTTATGAATAAAGGGTGTGAGTGTGGTGTTGGTGGAATGGTATGGATATGATATGGGTGTAGGCCATTATTGGTGTAGAACACCCATACCTAAATTCACACCCTTAATATTTAGTATTTTCAATAATCAATAAATAATGTTGACATTTTTTTTGTATTTATCAACGTATTACATGAGGATGTGGGTGTGGGTCGGTGTTGCTGAAGAGGATGTCATATACCACTACCACACCCACACCATTATCAATGTTTTTAATTGTTGATTGTCAGTACTAAGATAGTTTTCGATAGCGATGCTTCTAAACAATTAAATAATGAAGAAAACGATAGATCAATTCATGGATATGATTATTGTTCAGAATCATTACTATTTCCAAATGATAAATGATAATTTATTGTACCTGCTGATGTTCACCAGGACCTTTATTTTGAATATTTGATGGTTGAATAGGTACTGTTACTGGTCCAGATAAATATTAATGTTGTTCTTGCTGCACTGGAGCAGATGATAGAACTAAGGCTGCTACGCCTGTTGTGTTGAACTTTGTGGATCATCACTCATATTTGATTTTTTACCAGTTAACAATTCATATGATTTTTGACTTAATTCTAATAAATTGTTTAATCTACAAACAAAAATAATTAAAAAAAAGCATTTCTTGTAGAAAAATATCTTACTTATATGTAAAATTTGCTGTTTTTTTTTCTACATAATAATTCATTTTAAAATCAATATTTTTGACCAAATTCATGTCATGATTCTGAAATTTGAAAAAAAGAAATTTCTTAAAGTTCAAAAATATTTGCTTACAGTTAATTGGATTTCCATGGTGTTTTTATTTTTTCTAATAGTAAGTTCAACACAACATCCATTTATTGAATATAATCAATCAGATATTTGTTTGGACCAGATTTAGCTAATTCAATATTTTTTTTGGTTTTCTTTGAAATAACAATATATATATATATTGTTTTCAAAAAGAAATATTTTTATTACATCAATTTTAAATTCACATACAATAAACGTATGGATAAAAACAAATAAGTAATCGAATTGATTACGAATATCTTCTACATTCGAATCAAGAAATTCTTGTAATGATAAATCCATAGTATTTAAGCTAGAAATGAGAATATTATTTAATATGAACTAAAATACATAGTGATTTTAATGATTACTGAAGCAAAAACGAATAGAAATTAGTTATTCACGAAATCTTTGTTACTGATGTCATTTTTATTTTCGTTCCCATACTAATACAAGACTATTAAATATGTTCTATTACATCATATAGTGACATCATATAGTGACATCATATAGTGACATCATATAGTGACATCATATAGTGACATCATATAGTGACATCATATAGTGACATCATATATGTGTTAACCGGTAGTCTTATTAAAAAGTAAACGAAAGAGAAAAAGAAAAGAAGATTATTGATTAGCGGTGTACATATACATTTAATTTATCAAAAATATAAACTTCAAAAAATTTATATTTATTTTAAATATAAAACCTTTGCACATTATGATTTAATAAATTAAAAAATGAAACTAAATTATTCTACTCTTTTCAATAATAATTCCTGTAAACCATCTAGACTTCTCAAGGTGAATTTTTGCCGATCCCTAGGGTTATTTAAAAGTATCTACCTTAGGAATACCCAGAGGTACCAAAAGTAACAATCTGAGANCACCCTAAATTTTCCGAACGGACGGACCGTACAAGGTATGAGTCATACTTGACATTGAGGGACGGACGGACCGCTCGCGCGGCGCGGCCGTCCCCGTCCCGCACTCCGCACCCGTCCGAGCGGTGCACGTCTCTGACCCACATCCTCTAGAAATTACATTTCGAAATCGAAATACATCAAAGTGATTTACTGCATATTCATTACATTTCAAAAGTAATTCGCTATGAGAAATTCGATCCAATTTCATCAAACAAAGTTAAATGCAGGCCATCTTAACATGAAATTGAATCTTTCTACAAAAAACATATCGTTAACAGACTTCAGCAGGTGTTTACTCAATATTTGTCGTTTTATTTTGTTCAAAATCGTCAGAACAGAGACGTTTCCGTCTCAGAACGCATGAAGTAGACTAGCTCGCTAGAAGAATGCACTGAAGCATGTTAAAATTGACACAGATTCGTTTTTTAACACGGTAATCTCTTCTTCGCCTAAGGACGACCGACTAGAGGATGTTTTTTTCTTTCTTCTTCCGGCCTCAATGCATTGTAACCCAGTTTAGTTTTTGTTGTGACTGCTTGGATATTATCGGACAAGAATAAGTCAATGATGAATCGATCGCTCAGAATCGCTTTGTTTTTAAATTAAAATCGAAAATATGTGCCAAGGAATTCAGTAAAAACATTCACAACGACGTCGTTGTAACGAGTGTTCAAACACGATTAAGCAGCTCGACTGAGTTTAGTTTGTCGATGTCATCGGTGAGTACGTGCCAAGGATTTCTTGAGGTGTAGAGTAGGAAGACTGGGATGAAAAAAAGGTTTGAATATATGGGTGTAGATATGGCTGTAGAAAATATTCACACCCATGTTGACACACACACCGACCTCCCATATATTCACCTCCATTCATGCTCAAAATAGTGCAGAGGACATGAATAAGATTAAACAAATGCAAGGTTGATATGCATTAATATTGATTTTTTCCTGTTAACACAATATATACCGTTTGCTCAACGACCGCAGTCAATTAGGCACCAATGTGGCAAATTTGATTGTGTTCAATGTTGGTGATCATGTCAGCAATGCTGGTATTATCGATAAGATCTTTATCAATTTTTCCAGACTCCCCATTGATTGCCAAGCAAAAATCAAAGTATACATTATTAAGTCAATATCAAATGATCCCGAGCATTTTTCTGTACAAGAACAGAGGCGCTCGTGCATCACCGATCTCAAATTATCTGTTGGAATCCAGAAGATCGAAGTTAAGCTGTTCGAAGCGCAGAAAGATGATTACGCTTGCTTCAGGTTTACAGAAAAGTCTGGTGATCCGTACACTATTGAACGTGCCAGCTATTATGCTGAACACGATGCTGATCAGACTATAAAAGGAGAAAAAATGCATTCTATCCAATGTGTTCATCATGGAATCACGGTGCCTTTTACTGTGAATCAAGACAGAAAAAGGTATGAATCAATCAAGAAGTACAATTCTAATCATTTGTATATAAAGATGAATAGCATGCACAGCAGCCAAAGTGAAATAACCCCACATTTCAATGATGTTCAATTGGAAACACCACGGGATAAAAACAACCGAGTGGATCGACGAAGAAAGGCGAAAGTCATCCGTCCTCATGTCGTTTAGACAAGATCTCAACAGTAAGAGCACGGTTTTAATAACTTCTATGCATTTCGTGTCTTATTCCTTTTTTTAGATCTGACTAAATTTCAAGAGCGTGACAACATGTTACGTGAAAGCAGGATTGCCGAAGCTTACTGGCAACTTCTCTTAGAAAACATCATGAAAGAGGAACAGGACGAGTCCAGTCGCGAAAGAAAAGGTCGATTAAAGCACGAAAAAAAGTCAGACAAATTATAGAAAAAGCAAGAAAAACTGATAGAGATGTTCGAAAAAAAGATAGATCAAAGTCAACATGGACAACGAACGTACATTGATAGCACATCAAATGATCATAATACTATAGAATGAATGAGTATTTAAAATTTTAAAGTCAATCTCCTTCATTTGTTCAAATTTTCTGTCTGACTGTCAAATGTTTTTCCGTGAAATCATTGTATCCTTCTTCACTTTTTTGTCACTAATCATCTTCTTATTGATAGTGATTACGACGAGAGAACATTTTCTAAAGTATGTTTTTATGTTAATATAAGGTTTTTCCTATTGAAGTAAACAAAAAATGTCTATCTTTCTAACGAATCTCTACTATTTTACGAGATTAATCGAAACTCATCGTCTTTGCAACTTCACCCACATCTACATATGAGTCTCACAAAATTGGCAACCTATCTGATTGACACTTTTATGATATCAATGCACTTTTTTCAGATTTCTGTTTCCATTCAAAATCTATATCAAAGTTGATGTAGAATTGTTGATAGAAAGTACTTTTCATCTTATTTTTATTTCGATAATCTGCAACATAGGCAGACTAGTCTCAACTTCTACAATTCAACTCCAAAAGAAATTTTCATATGATGCTCTCCGCTTCAATATCTATTTTGAGGATGTGAGAATCGATGCGGATTTGAACATGATAAGGATTTAGGGAGTCAATTATTGAACGACAAACTATCTGAAAGAATGACGAGTGTTTGGGTGTGACTGTGAGTATGAAGTGTAGGTTTGAGTCATTCTATCTTAACTGAGACACACCCTCACGTCCACACCCATACTTGATTTTAATCGCTGAGCTCTTTAATAGATTGTTTTGATTACTTATGAAATATTTGACTTTAATGGGTTTTCATCTAAGAAAATAGTTTATAATCAAAAATTAAATCTGATTTTATCAAAAGTTGCCGTTTGTTTTTGTGATTATTTTAAGAAAATCGATTTTAAACAAATTTTTATCATCTTGTTTTTTTTTACATATGAAGTTTAAATCGGTCGACTTTGATTTTCGAAGGATGCCATTTTTACTTTTTATTTTCAGATGAGTCATGCAGTCTTCGTACGGTTCGTAAAATGAATCATTACTGTCGCAAACAACAGAAGCGCAATAAAAACTAGATTGCATGGGCTATCATCGCTTCAGTCATATTTTATTTTTCTGTTGTAAACTATTGCATGTAGTGGTGCAAGAATTCTTTTTCTACACATCAAGCAAGAGCATAATAGTCAGTTTGCAATTGGGTAATATTGAAATAGTGTAGACAGGTAAAGAAGCACAACTTCCTTTTTTGTTGTTGTATTGTTGCTTTTTCGTCTGCGGACGGACTGAATCATCGTTCTTCAGTAAAGATGTATGTTCCGTATTGTATTGCCGTTTTCGTAAGGGTAGAGGAATGACTTTTCTCCATATTATGCTCATTTTTGGCTATAAATTTTGACGATCAGTTATCGTTTATAAAAGTTTGTTTGATAACAATTTCAGTCAAAAATATTAAACTATGTTGCATATATAAAATGAATCCTTATATACTCGTAATCTCTACCTCAGTAGAATTTTGAAATATTACTTACGACATACCAAAAGTAATGTTGTCATTATCTTATTTCCATATAGAAAGCTTGAAGCAATTTTCTTTTTTTGATGTAGTAATAGAGAAAATGACTCTCTATTTTTCTGTGCCATTTGATTACTCTTGAACTAACATAATAATAACAATATTTTGATAAGAGCTGTTTTTCTGTAAAATGTAACGGTTATAATATAATGCTATTTGAAAAAAAACGGTCGAGTAAGTACTTTTTTGAATAACTTTTCATAGGAATAAGATAGAGAACTGCGATTTTCATCATTCGAAATAAGAGATGACGATGCATCGCATTGTGTGCTCTAGATTTTTCCCATCTGACCCTTTTTAAGGTTTTCAATCGACCTCTTTGAAAATAAATCTACTTCTCGAGGTGTATGTACTGAATTTTCAATTGTAAATTATGTATTTAAACCGTCAATAGAACATCTACAAAACTGCATAAGGTGACATGTTTGCTTCTGCTGTTTGGTTTTTAATAAAAAAACTTTTTTTTTTTGGAAACTTAGAAAATTGACTAAAAAAACTTCAGACAACATATTTGGAAAACTCATAATATACAACTTGATACATCCTCATCTCTTCTTTCGAACAGTGAAAATCTCAGTTCTCTATCTAGCTTTTATGAAAATTTATTCAAAAAAAATACTTACTCGGCCTTTTTTCAAATAGCAAAATTTAAAACCGCCACATTATACAGAAAAACAGCTCTTATCAAAATTTTACTATTATGATGTTAGTTCATGAGTGATCAAATAGGACAGGAAAATAGTGAGTGGTTTTCTCTATCACTGCATTAAAAAAGAAATTTTCTTCAAGCTTTCTATACGGAAATACGAAAATGATGACATTACTTTGGTATGCCCTAAATAGTAGGTACATGAGACACAAGATTTAAAATTACGACTTTTCACAGTTTTGTATACAATAAAATCGTTTTCGTAAACTGAGGCCTCTATATAGCGTTAAACGTCACGATTAGTCAATCAATACAAATCAAAACCAGAACGTAGGTTTTTTGACAACACACTTTGTCAAAATCTGACACTTTGGTTTTGAAAAACGCGAAGTCTTATTTCGATAAAAATTCATAGTTTTAACACGAAGCTTTCTGATTAAAACAACGACTTGATTTTTCGACTTAATAAATAACTGTGGTTGTTTCGATAATGCATTAAAGCGTCATTTAAACCGAAAGAAATACGAATTTAAAAGCTTCATATGACTTTTTGCTTCTTCAAGTGTCTGAGACGAAATATGCAAAACTAATAAAAATTAAGATTTATTTTAAGAGTTTTACATGTAGGTTCTCAAGTTGTGACAACTCATGTAACTACTCCGTTTTCCAATAATACGAGTAGACACATTTTTGGCAGTATCCTATTCTCACTGAACTAATTTACTCAAAATACAGTTTCATTTAACGGAAATATCTTGATGAAGCATCACGTTACGACTCAGTAGAATAATTGAATTTCATTTATAAGGTAAAGAGTTCGAATCAGATGAAAAGCAAAAGAAATAGGAATGATAGAAAGTATCATAGATTTTGACCACGATATCATCACATCATGCTGATAATGAAGTTGTGAGCATCATTTCAGCTAGTTAGCAAGTTGAATAAATATCATAAATCTATAGTTATAATAGTTAATCCTCGAAAAATGAATTGATTTGTTTTCAAAAATCGTTGATAATCACAGTTTGAAGACGTCACAAAATTCTGACTATTTTTTAGGCTGTTTCAAATCGTCTAAAATGGCGACATAGATAAACATGATTATGGACAATTTACAGAATGCCTAATAATCGGCTTGGCCTGTATGGTTAACATTAGCTGATCAGAAATGAGACTTCAAATTGTGATCAGTCACAATTTTAAGTGAATTTTGTTTTGTTTGCATAGACAAAATTCAAACAGTTGTTTGTTTACCTTCTTATTTTAGAAATTTAAAAGTCCAATACATAAGTATGAACATTAAGAATAATAAGATTCATTTTACTAACTCTTCTTCGCTTCAATTATCCATGCCACCATTTTTGTTTCTCATTTTCTTTCTAGTAGATCATTGAATTTATTGTGATACCTTAAAACTACGTCTAATATCCATTATGGCCTTACTCTTCAATGATGATAATAGTCGTTCATCGTTTCCAATGTATTTTGGTCGTCAAACGAAATTTGGTGATGCTGCTTCTACACCATTGAAATTGATTAAATTGCATATTGAACAACAAGTGAATGCCACATTTCCACTCATACATCAAGTAGCAACAACAATGACATTTAGAAATGATCATAATAGAGTATTAGAAGGAGCTTTGGAATTTACACTACCCGAAAAAGCAACAATTTGTGGATTCGGTGAGTTAAGTAGATAACATGACTATAGTCAAATCACGATATAAAAGAGTAAACGGTATCGATAGCAAATGAAACATAGAGATAGATATGAACTTCAGTTTTATGGTTGAACATTAATAAAATTTGGTATTTTCTATCATAGGTCTTGATGTTGATGGTGTTATTGTTGATGGTGTTGTTGTTGAAAAAGAAAAAGCTCGTATTACATTTGAAAAAGAAGTTCGAAAAGGCGTCGACCCTGGATTAGTCGAAATGGTTCAAGGAAATTTATTTCGTACAAGAGTTTATCCAATACAAGCTGGAGGTACACGAATAGTACGTGTCATTTATCAAGATCAAGCAAAAGTTGAAAATGATCATTTTCTATTCAATATTCCAATCTACTTTACTACTACTCTAGACAGTTTAGATATTTCATTAATTTGTGCACACACATCAAATCATTCTCAACCACAATTTCTTTCAAATGTTAAATTTCAACAGCCTTTTATCAATTCCCATGGAAAATATTGTTCTGAACTTCATCTAGTCAATGTTAAACCATTGGAAGGTGAACAGTCCATTACATACATGTTAAAAAATTTAGCACCAGAACAAGCCATTTACAGTGTAGAAATTGATTCCGATGATCGTAATCAAGCCTATTTTGCTCTATGCTATGTGCCACCATTCCAACAATACAATACAATGATAGATAATAATGAAAAAGCAATGTCCATTTGTTTACTATGGGATGCAAGTTTAAGTCGAGCCAATGTCGAAAATCGTAATCATGAAATAAATATTCTCAAGAATATATTAAACATTTGGCAATCCAATGGTATCAATATAAATATAACTGTAATTGTATTTCGAAATATACTCGAAGAACCGAACACATTTCAACTACATGATAAAAATTGTTGGTCAAAACTTAGTCAATTTTTAACCGATCTATCATATGACGGTGCAACAAATCTATTTCAACTAGCTACAATTTCAACGATTATTCCAAATATAACACATTATTTTCTATTTAGTGATTGTCTTTCGACTATTGGTAATGATGATCCGACACAGTTGAATCAATTAACGACAAAACCACTTTGGATATTTAATGCTAATGCGGCACATGAACCAACAAATTTTTCATTGATTAATTATTTAACTAATGTCAGCGGTGGCGGTTATATTTCGCGTGACAAAATCTTTGGTCAAAATAGTGCAAACTATATCGTTCAATGGATTGATAAGCCACAAGCGCGATATATAAGTATGGATATTATCTCTAATGCAAATGTTCATGATATTTATCCTAATCATTCAATTGTGTTAGTACCAAATGCAGAAAGATTTATACTCGTTGGAAAAATGTCATCAACAGCTTCAGCTAAAATTGCTATCAATTTTTCTATCTCAAATCAAATACATCGTAAAGAATTGATAATAAATAGTGCAGATTCAACATCTGAAAACTATGGATTATTACGTCGTTTATATGCGAAACAAATGTTAACTGAATTAACTGCATTTCCAGAAAAAAATAAAAAGCGTATTTTAGATATTGGTATGGAATATTCGATTGTGAATGATTTTACATCCATACTTGTTCTAGAAACATTACAACAACATATTGAGCATAATATATGTCCACATTCATCACGTACAACATTATACAATGATTATATGAAGTATCAACAGAATAAAAACCAAGAAGAATCTACGAAAAGCCAAGCAAAAATGACAGCTGTCTTAAATTTATGGCGAACACGTTGCACATGGTATGATAAAACGATAACCGACAAAGACCGTAGCAATGCATTCAAAAAGAAAACTTCTAGTCGACATGATACGGAAGAACGTAGTATACGACGACAAATGCAAGCATATTCAAACTCTGCTAGGAGGTCCATACCTTATGAAACAAGGCGACATGCAATGGATGATTCAATAGAAGATGAATCGTTGGAACACATGAGTTTTCGATATAGTCTTGCATCAAGTGTAGAACGAAGGTTGGAATCACGCTCGGCTCGATCTAGAAACTATGAAGAAATGTCTTTGGATGATGAAGATATGAACGAACATAATTTCGATGAGTACTCTCGTGTTAGTCAATCAAGATCATACAATCAAGTCCAACATTACCGCAATGATATGTCTACTACGAGTGATCGTAATAATACTACTACTAGCACTCATACAATTACTCTTCAAAACTGGGATCCAAAAACACCATACATGGAAAAAATTAAATCAAGTAGTAACTTACAAACAGCTTATCAAATTTATTTAAATGAACGTCAATCATATTCTAAATCACCTTCATTTTATTTTGATATAGCATCCTATTTTTTCTCACAAACTAGTTCTTTAATACCACAATCATCATTAATTGATAAATTTAATCAACATCATTCAATTTCAATTTTTGGCATTCAATTATTTTCAAAAAAAACTGATAGCAACAGTAATGATAGTAGTTCCAATGCAAACCAATCTAAAATTTTGGGTTTACGTATTTTAACAAACGTATTAGAACTAGAATCGGAATCGCCGCAATTATTACGAACTGTTGCTTATAAACTTGTTGAACTTGGTCTTTTCAATTTAGCTGAGAATATTTTTCGACATACCGCCAATTTGAGATCGGATGAACCACAATCATATCGAGATCTAGCATTATTATTGCAAGAATCTCATATTCAAAATAAGAACATTACAGAAATATCAGATC